TATAAATTTATTATATTTAAAAATGCCCTCAACGGCTTCAACAGAGAATATTTTACAAAACTTATCTAATTTAATCCCTCAAATCTTTCAGGACTGTCAAAAAACTAGTTCAACTCATAGAAAAAATGCAATAAATTTACGAAAGCTGCAGTTAAAATGTTCAGCTATTGCTCCAAGTGACCCTTCAAGTGATATGAATGGGGAAAGCCAATTCAATAAAGAATTTATAAGAAACCTGAACAAAAGAGTGACAAAAAAAAGGGGACAGAAAACTGCTGAATATATAGTAAAATTTGTAGTTTCATTTGTCACATACAGTCAAGAAAAAGGTATTGATAGATCATTGGATTATATAAGAGTAGTACAATATTTATGTAATCAATTAATATATATATATGTATATATATACGTAGAAAGAGAAGAAGCTTCTTCCGATGGATGTGTTAATGAGGATCCAGATGATTATAATCTTGAGAATTCATTATCGTCAAGGTTTACTGAATATTTGCTTCGCTATTTATTGCAAGGTGTTAAAGCTAAAGATAAAGTTGTAAGATATCGTGTTTGTCAACTGATTAGTTATCTTATTAATTTATTAAGAACACTTGAGTAAGTAACCAATAATTAAGCTTTTACAAGTCAATTTTAAATACTATTCTAATATATAATAATAATATATTTTTAAGCGATGATTTGTACGAAAAGATGAAAGATGAATTAACTGAAAGATTATTAGATAAAGAAATTTCTGTACGAGTAAAAGCTGTTATTGCCTATTCCAGGTTACAAGTAGGTTATAATTTGATTAAATAATCATCATATGTTATTATCATCACCAAAATTTATATACAAGTAACTATATTATAAGGGTGATGAATTGTCGGGCGATGAAATAACACAAAAACTATTGGAAATTATGCAAAATGATTCCAGCCCGTAATTTACAAGATTCTTTGTTTATAATTTACTTTGTTGTTTATTAAAAAAATTCCAACTATCAAAAAAAATAATATATTTTTAAAAACAACATCTGTAGAGAAGTTAGACGTTCTGTACTCAGTAACCTTGATCTTACTGAAACAACTTTACCTTTTATTCTTGAACGAGCAAAAGATGTCGATTCACATTGTCGTCGCTCTGTATATCAAATAATGGAGGGAATCGGTGATTTTCGAGCTTTATCAATTAATGATCGAGAAAAATTATTAACTTGTGGATTGAAAGATAGGTAAAGATGATGGTTTATTCTTTTTTAATATAATTTAGTATCTTACAATGCTATGATTGCCAGTAGTATTTATATATATGTATATATATATATATATAATATTTCTATAGAGAGGCTATTGTTAGAAAAACATGTTCAAAAATGCTTTCAACAAAATGGCTTAAACAAGTAAATGATGATTTGCTACAGGTACTTGTAATGATTGAATTGTTTAACAGATATTATGAATGAATTATTCCATTGATGAGTTATTATTTATTTATCTTTATTTTATAGTTACTTAATAGACTAGATGTTGTGAGAAGTAACATAGCTCAAGAAGTTTTATTATCAATATTTAAAGAACGTCCAGATTTACTAAAAGATTTACGTTTTGAAGGTTAGAGTGCATCGCATTTAAAGTTCCGTATTTTTTATTTTTATTTATTTTTCATGACAAATTAACAATATGTGTATTTTAGATAATATTTGGGATGAATTAACAGCCGAAAAAATATTTTTTATTTGTGTTTTTTGTGAATATCATAAAGAGGTACGGTTTAGAATAAAAGTCTATTTTATATCAAATGCAAATGTTGATCAAGTAATTATTGGAATTTATTATTATTATTACGTAGGATGCTAATAAACTTGATGAGTTATTACCAGAAGTGACGCGATTTGCCTTTTACCTTCAAAAATATCATAATTGTTTAATTGAAGCAAAAAGTGACATTGAACAAACGAATTATGAATTTATAGTTACCCAATTTCTTTTATTAGCAAAATTGCTTGATTATGGAGATGAGATTGGAAGGAGAAAAATGCATTCATTATTAGGTACTTTTTTAGATAATAAAATATGAAAATTATATTTATTAAATGAATAATAGTTCAACATTGTATGATTGTAATCGAACAAAATTTATTATTAGGTGAAATACTTATGTTGCCTACAATTAATGAAAATCATATTGATAATATAATAGAAATTATTAAAAAGATTTCACTGAACGAAAAAGATTTTACATGGTAAATGCTAAAAGGGGGTTTTCTTTAATGATTATTAGAACGATAATTCTTTCTCTAATATATGTATTTTTATTTACTCCAGTTCTATGGCAGAAATAATTTTGAATATTCGTGAAGGACTTCTTGTAACTTCCAAGGTTTAAATTATAAAGAATTATGTCATCCATATAGTGTGTGTGTATATATATTTATAAATA